CCCTGTGCGAATGGTTTCTCGCATATGTGACAGTGTGTGGCGCTACGGTATGCCCCCCACTGTTCCTTTGACAAATTTTCCATAGGGACATTAGTGAATAATTTTTCTTTTACGTGTTGTGATAACACTTTGAGTTGGTCGGCGAACCACGCGACGCAATCCGTGTCGCGGCGGAAACGGTACGTTGACTGCGAGTTGTACGAGCAATGCACGTAGTATGCAATACTAAATACCTCATGATGCTGGTATGCTTTGGTATCGGTATCAGTCTTTTTCAAGATGCATTCAAGGTCCGCGTACACTACAAACGGCACACGTTCCTTCCTGCTGTGGTTGTTGAAGCTGAGCCACTTGTCCTCCTCGCTGGGTAATACGATCGCGCAGTTATTTATTTGTTGACAGTCCACGCTGTGGGCTTCCAACTTTCCATTTGAATGGAAATAATGCAAACATCTGGAAAGAAAAAACATTTTTATATTTTTTCAAATAAAACAATTTTTCATAAATTTTATTGTTACTCACCGATCGCAAATGTATTTTTTCCCATGAGCACCACTCAATTGTGAACTGACGAGGCGGGACAAGTTTTTTATCCAGACGAAGTGGCCCACTTCAGCACCTCCCCGATCTTGCAGGTATAATAGGTTTACGTGCTTCTCCTTCTTCTCGTCAGCAACTCGTAGCGGTACGATTGCGTGTTCACAATTGTTCTTTTCATCGATGCTGTACACATTGATAGAAATACTGTTCAATTGTTCAAATTTTTTCACTTGGTTGAGTGTCATTGGAAAGCTAATGTCTCGCAGGTTTAGCACGTCGCTGTAATGCGGATACGACGATTTACGATCCGCGTGTATTTCAGCCGGATGCAGAGCAGCGACCACCGACCACGCGAAACACGCATTGTCCTTTGATCGTACGTTGATCACTGCTCTCTTTCGTTTCACCACTTCTGGCATGTCTATATGGCATCCTGCGCGCATAGGATTGCACTTGTTTACATTAATGGTTACGTTGTGTATACGCGACAGCGCCCACCCGCTATCGCGCTCCTGGAATTCTTCGAGTTCGGTTAGAATCGGACCGATTACGCGTGACTCGTACCACTGTTGTAGGTCCGTTGTACGGAACAGTTCAAAGTTTTTTGTATTTATGCTTTTATTTGCACGTTTGTCGCCCGCCACAAACTCCCCGTTGAACGCGGTATTCACCTTTACACAATTATAGCGTTCGATAGCGTCTCGCACGTGCTTGACCACTACATCGCAAGCGTCCTCGAGAAATTTGCGCGGCTCGATGTACTCCACGTTAATCACCGCACCGGTAAGCACGCGACTGTCAAACGCGGTGTCGATCTCGCGCCACGTCAGTTGCG